GACACATATCCTTGTACGTCGTCGTAATCGGCATCAAGTTGTATCCGCTGACCCGAGTTGCCACCGCATGGCACCATTGGGGCTGTGTTATCCCAAAGATTCTCAGTGACATTCAGAGTTCTCTCGACAGCGCTGACGATCTCGACGGATTTGAGGATTTGAAGGACGAAGACAAGGAGCGCGTGCGCAAGGCCGTTGAGAAAGTGAAGGTGGTGCCAACGGTATTAGACCCCAATCTATCTGGGCATTAGACCCGAATTTTCTCATCTTCGGCCGTCCAATCCCGTGACCCGAGCCTCCTTTCCCCCTGGTATCTCCTCTAAGGTTCTTGGGAGTTCCGACAGTTTCTATGATGGTTCACTCAAGGAATGTACCACAATTCTCTTTTCTTTTCTATCTTAGTTCTCAACATTGTATATAAACCAATAATTCTGTACGTAGCTTGGTATATACATTCTTACCCTACATTTGCTGCCTATGGTGCTCAGAATTCCAGTCCAATTCTTATATAGTCACCGACTTGCTCTGAATATACTTAGCTTACCTTTGGTATTGATTTGCTCCGCTAAACCTCCGAGATAGTGACTTGCTTACTATGTAAGGGTTCACTTTCAGTGTTGAAGCTAATCCCTCTGAATCTTGAAGTTTAGATACACTTTCAATCAAAGATGAGTAGTCTAAATAGTTGTAATTGACAAGACTGCTGTAAATACATGAAATAGACTGGCTTTTATATTAACTACAAGGCCCGGTCTGGGCTCAGTAAGACTCCGCAAGTCTTACTGAGCTGATTCATAATACTGCGGTGAGTCCAATAGTTGCTTACTCACTGACTATTGATCCTGTAAATCCGGTACGAGCCTAAAAAGGTAATATAAATAAACAAGGAGCCTTCTATTCGTTACAGATGAATATAATAAATAACAACTTAATACTACACTTTGACCAATCAAAGTGTATTCTAAATCCTCACATGACCAATCCCTTACATACTACGTGTGATGCATGACTTGTTTACAGTGGTTTATCACTAGGATAACGATGAAAAGATTATCCACTCAGGCCAAATTTGATTTGATCAACATTGTCAGCTCATTTCTTCTCGATCTTCGGTTCTGGATATTCCTGATACCCACGGATTCGTTGTGATAGAGTTGGAGGAGAAGTGACGGAATGAGAAAAGTGGCTTATGACCTTGTAGGATGCTTCCTTGAGAATAAGTGCCGCACTTGTAGTCGAGTTAAGTTTGAGTTTAACTTTTACAGAATATGAATCGTTGAGACACCTCACCACTTAGTTCTCTCCTCCTCATAGGCCGTCGCAGCCACATCCAGGTCAGGTTTATGGTTGTGCAGGCTGTGTAAGTACTTCCGCAAAGTGTATCTATATAGTTATCATAAATTGAAATATAATAATTGACTCAAACGCTACTCAATGCCTATTTACCATCAGAGTTTCTCCACCATCACTTTGATATGCTTTCAGAGAAATTTGTGCGAGAAATATTAAGAAACATTCAGATCAAGTGCAGCAACGCAATTGATAAGTAGACGTACTCAAATAGTAGTGGAAATTGTGTTCCTCGATCTAACCGGTATACTATGTTATCGATAACAGGATCCGCGCTAAAATCAGGAGGTCCTTCGCAAATATCCTTTAAAGCAAGCATTTAACTTGTTGCCTTTTTATCGCTGTCGTATACCCCTTGTTTATCAAAGGATTTTCCGACATGCTAGAGAAGGTTATTTTACCTTCGATATGTTGCACCATTGGCAGTCCCGTTAATGTAATTTGAAACACCACAGTCGAGTCGGTTAGCACTGGAGACATCATAAAATTTCCAGAGTCTAAAAGTCCCAGGAAATCTTATGCCTCTGGCAAATAGTATTAGCATTTCTTAGAGCAAAAATTGACAGGAAATGTTGATTATTTTGAAGATTTCCTGAAGCATGAAAAATTGAATTGTGTTAAAATTTCCTGAAATTGGAAAACTTG